TCCTTTTGTAACTTCACTTCTTTTGTCATGTTTGCGAGCATTTGAATTTTTTTCTTTGTAACTTAGCATCTTTGGTCATGTCTTCAAGTTTATTCTTCATCTTCATCTAAAACAACTCTCAGAACCCATAATGTGTGTTAAAATCTACAAATCTTCAAGTTTTTTCATATTTTTTTGCTGTTTTTCTTCATTTTGTATGGTTAGTTTAGAAATCTTTGATTTTTTGTATATAATATTCTTGCTTAATATGATTTATGCTTTAAATTCGTCTATTAAGTTGTAAACTTGCTGTGAGATTCAAAATTTGTATGACTTGGGCATGTTTTCCATTTGGCTTGTTGAGGATTTGTTACTCACATACAGAAATGGTCAGGGATACCCCCGTCAATTATCCTCACCAACGATCGCATGGTACAACCCCATGCTAGGGCTTAGTCGACCTCACTATCACAAGGCATTTTTTTTTTTTTTACGTGATTATCCATATTAATACAGTTAAGGCTCCTCTACAAAAGTATACATGGTTATCCATATTAATTACGTGATGTGCACGTGACATTTGCTGACTCAATACATCAAGTGATTGTACTAATTGGATTGGGTCGATTGAATCAAATAAACTCGTCCTGGGCTTGGGCTCGGCCCATTAACCCCACAGTCCATTTTCCTTCCACTACAAATGGGCAAGTTCACTCCACATTGAAGGTATGTTATGTTTTCTAACATCTTATTAACTCCCATCCAAATTACCTCCCCTTATTATTATTACTAGTCTATTGCCCGTGCAATGCACGGGCAATGTGATTACGGAGGTAATGTTAGCGTTCTAAAAAAAAAAATTATCTCCATTGAAATCTCTTCCCAATCTTCTCCACTTGCTTTATTTCATTCTTCAGTGAATTTCTTCAAGCAGGTTATCTGCATAGAATCAAGAACTTAAAACATCAATAATTGAATCAATATTTTCATATTTAACTCCATTGGTTTCATTCTGAATCTATACATATATTTCTATGCATTGGAGATAATTCCTCAGTAAATTTCAACCACATCAATCAGCGTATGAATCTACGTGTTTAGTCATAGAGATGTAAATTGTGCCAGTACCTATGGTGTGGATCAATGTACAGAAAATAATGATAATTAATATCACAGGCCCTATTGAAGCAAATATATGATATATCAATGATTCAGATTTGTATTCTATCACCAAGAGTGGGTAAAATCAATGAGAAAAGCATTTTTACATGTTTGTCCACTATAAACATACTTTACACTACAGAACAAATGGAAGCTAGAAATTGGGTAAAAGTCGATCCCAAATATAACAAGCACTTAAATGGTTCAGAGGACTTACAACTTCAATCCAGTGATGTATGACAAGTTGAGCCTTTTCATCCTTAGACAATCCCTTTCCAACCTGCAATTGAACGATATTAATCCCTTCACAGTAGAAATTTAGCATGCAACTACTCCCAACCTTTAAAGTAAAACTTTTCATTCTCATCCTTAAGTTCCATTTGCTTATTTCAAATAATTTCATCAACATTAGCGTTGAATTTTCCTTGCATAAAGCACGAGCTAATTTTTGGACATGTAAAGCTGGCAAGACAATATACTTGATACATAACTAATCTTTCAATGTTTATTCATTTTCAATTCTAATAGCTTTATTGTTTCTTCAAATGTCGCTCTCTCTGCCAGTTATCGCTACACTATTGACTGTCGATTATCGTAGAACCATCAACAACTGTTGGCCCCCAAAAATAAAATTCCTAGCTTCGCCACTGCCCATGGGCTCAGCATAGTTCGTTCTTCTTCCACTCTTGTGTAATTTTACTCTTTGAAGGGAGATGATGGTTTCAGCATCACAGCTTACATGAGATAATGTTATGACATAGTAATTGCAAATTCGATCAAGCAACATCAAAATGACTCAGAATGTCATGCTTTCTACTGTAAATATCACCGATGTTTGCATAAATTGGAATGTTTCTATACATTTTAATATTTTATCATGTGTAAATATTTTTACTTTCAGGCTAAACAACAACCGAATAACCCCAAAATGAAAGACAAGGAAAGGAATTATAAAATTGGCACTATTCCGCAAGAAAAACTGAGCAAGAGAGTTTTATGGATAAAAAAGAAGAATGCTTGACAACAGAGTTAAAAATGGCACTCGAAATACTTGATTTTCCGGAATGTGTTTCTGATGTATCTGACTCGGTGGTTCTCGTTCCAGAAATGCTTCTTCCTGATTCAGAAGTGAGGGACCCAAGTTCGGTCAACTCGGATACTGATTCTTCTGAAGTGCTTCCTCCCGCAGAAGCGTAGGAAGAGATCTAAGTATTTTCCACTCACCTTCCTCTTCCACCCTTGGCAAAAAACAAGCATTTCATTTCCATCACTTTTTTAAAGCATAAAGACAGCATTTTTATTTACCAAATTGAACAAATTGTATTGAAATGGGCATATGTACACCAAAATAGCTACCTAATGAAAGATAGTTTTATTTACCAAATTCAACAAATTGTATTGAGTACGGTTTTATTATTCATAAAATTTATCAAATCAACCCATAGGAGGTGGTAGTGGCTTCGTAATACTATGTCAGCAAAATAATTTGATTCACTGTGCATTGAATATTTTCCATTACTCCATTTGCTCACTTGGAGTTTTCACGCTGTTATAGTAACAAGTATTAATTTAACTCCCATAATAATGTAATATGTAAAGTTTTAAAATTTTCCCCACTTAACAATGAGTTTGTGCTTACACTGTTCATCTCTTACAAGAAAATATCCAAATCTTGACCAATTAATTCAGAAGCCCATGCATTTCTAACGATTCACTAACCATGAGAGTTAACCGTTCCCCCTAGATCGTCTAGCAACGGAAATATCATAATCACTAAATTACAAAATTTAAAAAAAAATGATTAGAAAATTTATCCAGGAAGAAGTAAAAAAAATAGATAAATTTATATATGCATATGCCCGTGTGAAGGAGAGTAAATTGATTATTTACCTCGCGAGTAGATGAAGTATTGGCGGAGTTAAGAGGGGATTTGACGGGATCGTCGGGATGACGCGGCAAATTCGAAGAACTCGGCACTAATGTTGACTCTTTCTTAGCACGATTATTACTATCCTCCGCCATTTCACTCTCGTGAATTCCCACGGCTTCTTTATGTATCGCCGGAGGGTTTGAACTACGGATTTCGCTGCGGAGGCCATTTGGAAAATTAAAGAGCGCATTTAATTTTAGGCAAAAAAAATACAAATTCCTACCAAGGAAAAAAAATGAAGACAGAACTAACATATAGCAAACAACAGGAATATCTTTTCTTTATTTGGACTTACCATCATTAGAATTGGTAACTCCATCGGAATTTGATTTTCAGGAATCGGTGGAAAACTGATAGCACCCGATAAGAGTAACAGAGGGGAGGTACGGTTATTTTCTAAGGAGGAGAGAGAAGGATGAAGGCAAATGGAAGGGGAAGGCTGAAGAGATGCATTTTTGTGTCAGAGATATTTGTTGATATTTTAGATAGACGGTCTAAACCCAGTTCCTAAACAGTAGTGAATTGGATCTGTGTGAAATAGGTAATAGAAAAATGAACAGTGAATCATCAAAATTGCCTTTAACCCACGTAAATTTATGCTCTCTAGTCAAAAAAGGAGGCTACCAAGTGTCAGATGAAGAGTGAATACTCAGTAAATATTTTGGTAGATTCAAGTGTGAAAGCAACGTCCCGTTCGCGCACGGGGAGATGTGGTTTTCCCCGTGCGCGGACGGGGAGATGAGTAAACGGTTTTTTTTTGCCTTTTCAAATACAATTCAATCATTGAAAATATTAATTAACACATATACTTGTGACTTTTTTATTTCCTTTTTTCTGACAATAATTCTACTTATTTACAATTCACACAAATTATAAATACAATTTTATTTATTAATAATTTAACCCAAAATAATTAGCAAATCATACATACATAAATATCAAAATTCCTTCCGGGGGATGAAATCCCATAGTTGTTAATAAATCCCATGGCTACATAGTGTATATATAGTGTAAAAAGTGGAATTTATTAATTTATTTATATATGTATATATAGTGTAAAAAGTGGCAAAATACATACAGTGGGTAAGTCGGTTGCAGATATTTTTTTTTAATTAATTAAGGCGGCAAATTTCACCGCCAAAGCTTGAACGTAAAAAGTGGCAAGAGTGATATACAAGATATTTATCATAGAACCAGTTAATGAACAGTAAGTGTGAAAACGAAGGTGCGGAAATGAATAGTACACGCCCCATCCCCTCTTTTAATAGAGTAGAGATATCGATATCTAATTTACATAGTTATAATTTAATACGACTAGTTGTTGATAATTGAAAAAGGGTACACTGGGAAAAAATTTGGCAAATTTTCTTTTTTTCAACAACCCTAAATAATTTTTTGTAATCCGTGTGAAAACAAAATGGGATAGAGGGAGTATACTTTTAGCCCAAAGTAATTTTTCTTCGTGGGGGCGAGAGATGCCAATTCTTGAATCTTAAACATGTATAGAGTTTTTCATAAAACGTGACATTTGACAACACTATTTTACATATTCAAACTCAAATGTCCAACAAGACCAATTTAAAAGTCCAAGTTTCATTTCTATTATCTCAATATTCTAGATCATGGAGTTTGAAACATTAGATGGATAGACTCTTAACTCTCCGTCATGGGTTCAAACTTCCATTTATATTAATATCATATACGAACTTCTAGACATCTAGTCTATAGCTAACATATGATACGACCAATATGTTATTTTATGAAAGTTGAAACACACTTTACATTAATTTCACATGAACAAAAACTAGAGATTTCCTTATCCTTACTCATATAAAAGAGGGAATGCCACAAATAACTATTCATTTTCCTGCCCTCGATTTCACATTGGAACCGGTTTGATTATACTATTCAATATGTGGTTTCCTACTGTTCATACCTTACAACAAGAAACAACCACCAGTGTTTGGTGCAACACGCCGTCGATCTTTTCTTCTGTATGTGTATTAAATAAAGATATCAGAGACACTTCGAGTTTTATAGTAACATTTGGGACATCCCTCATGTTTAAAAAATTACCCTAAGCTCCCCTATTTCTAAGTTTGAATATCATATGAACTCCCAATCGCTTTTTGAGCCAAATAAGATTGATGTACTTAAAATTCCCTTGTAAAGGAAAATATTAAATCTGTTACAATAGTTATAGTTAAATTGCTCAAAGTGACTTATCTACTCAAATAAAAGAGTGACTTTCCCAGCCACTATTCACAAGTCATTTGGTCAATGAAGCCTAGTCGAGCCATTCCCATTTCCTTTGAAGGACAAACATGTGGCTGATCTGTAATTTCTTTTTTTTTCCTGACACACAAGACTTATTTCTTACACGCAACCGAAAGTGCACAGGAGTCAAGCAAAAGGCAATCGGTTTTCCTAACTGTTTCCCCATTTTTGCACTCAATAGCCTGTGCTTTCTTCTTCGATTTTCAACACATCGAGCTCTGATTTCTTCTTCAATTGTCGCTACCGCACTGATTTCACACACAAGACTTCATTCTCACGCGCAACCGGAAGTGCACAGAAGTCAAACAAAAGGTAATTGATTTTCCTGCATTCTTTCCCCATTTTCAAAAAAAATATATGCATAAATGGAAGAAAAATATACTTATTTGTAAGCTATCTAATCACTGAGTTACAAGTTCATATATTTTGTCACCTTTTCCTTATTAGATAGTGGCTGAGTTGAGCAGCATTGGAGCATGTTGATCCACCGAGTTGAGCCACACTTTGTCTTTAATCGTACGACTCATTTTGTCAATTTACGTAGTTCATATTTCTTTTGGGATACATATATGTTTTGTCACAAAAGTTAAATTGTAATTCATACATCCATATTATTGGGTATTTTGAGTACATTTGAAACTTTTGTTTGTAAAATATTAGTAAAGGTCGACTTTCCAGTATTGTATTTTGAATAGTTTGAGTTTTGAGGGGCTGTTGTACCATGTTTTAAATTATATGTACTGGTTGAGGATATTGATTATTGTTCAGGTGATTTTAGCCCAGATTATAGGGGAAACTCTGTCAAATTTTTTATAGAAGTATGTCACAGTCAAAACAGGTCAAAGTCGCCTCGATGGTGGATTTGGCACTTAGCTGGTATCTACCATCGGTGCACGACACGTGTGGGGTCCATTAGGTTGATTCGGGACTGATCGTGTCAGTGATTCCATTGATAATGTAACCAAAGTCGAACACAACATTGTAGTATATGCAATCTTAAAGCTAACAGATTCGCGGCAATATCTGAACTAGTCGAACACAACATTGTAGTATATGCAATCTCAAAGCTAACCGATTCGCGGCAATATCTGAACTCACTGATTTCCACACTTCTTCCTGCTAAGATAAAAATGTCCTTCTAGCATGTTTGGTTTAACTTATAAATCCATTCAATTTACTCATAAGTAAGCTAAATATAGTTGGTTAATAAAACATAGGCATGAACAAAAATTCTAATAACAAATATTAGTTTGTACTTCTTTCTCACCTTTTTGGATAGTAAAAAAGTAGAATTATGAATCTATTTCTCCACATCTTTCAGTTTTGAACGGATCTAACTAAATCTAACATACGTTAGACATTAATGATTAGACAAAAAAATCATAAGAAGAAATCCAAATTGACGATGAATAAGAAACATAAACAAACAAAGAAGTGATAGCATGACTCGGAAGATGGATTGTAGAGTATTAAAAGAAGAGAACTACATAATTTGACTCTGGTCTAATCCATCGTTGAATGTATACTAAGAATGATTTGTCTATGAACTATCACCGAGGGCTGTTTACAGGAAACATCAAACGAGCACTGTCGGAGCTATATTGTCCAGAGAAATCCCCAGTGCTTGTATAAGGCCCCATTTGAATAGAATACAAGTCATTTGAGGTGCTTGGAGCAATATAAAGATCTGATGCTTCACTTTGATTATTCATTAACCCAACATTTTCTTCATGCAGAGACCGATTAGCCCATGGATGTTTATTGAATTTCCTTAAACTTTCAAGTTCCATTGCCACTTCTTTCATTGTAGGTCTGTCCTCACCATCCAAGTACAAACATCTCTTGACAAGTTCAGCAATGGATTGGATTTGATCTAAAGTTCCTTCCCTCAATACCCGAGGCTCAAGAATAGAAAACAAACGATTTTCTTTCATGGACATGATGAAATATGTAGCAAGATTTTTTTCTTCTTGGCGTCTCTGCATATCAAGGGGTTTTTTCCCTGTCAAAAGTTCTGCAAGAACTACCCCGAAGCTGTAAACGTCGCTTTTTTCTGTAAGTTGACTCGTGTGGAAGTACTCGGGATCAAGATATCCGAGTGTTCCTTGGACTAACGTTGTCACTTCAGTTTGATCCAAGGAGATTAATCTTGAAGCTCCAAAATCTGAAATTTTTGCAGTGTAATTTTCGTCTAATAATATGTTGGCAGACTTGACATCTCTGTGAATTACAGGCTTAGAGGCTGCTGAATGAAGATACGAAAGTGCACCAGCAGCTTCTGAGGCTATTCTCAAACGATTCTCCAAAGATAACCAAGTCATTGCACTATTAGTAATGTGCTGGGAAAGAGTTCCATTCGAAACGTATTCATAAACTAACAAAGGAACTTCTAATTCCAAACAACATCCCAATAACTTGACCACATTCCGATGATTAACTTGTGTAAGAATAACTATTTCATTGACGAATTGCTCAATCTGGCTTTGATCCATTACTCGGGACTTTTTGATGGCAACTACGCGTTTATCGGGTAGAATTCCTTTGTAGACAATACCATAACCACCACCTCCTAGAATTTGATCATCTGCATAGTTGTTCGTAGCTTTTTCAAGCTCCTCTGCCGTAAATATTTTCGTCCTTGATTCCATGTTACTTTCAATTGAAGAGAGGTGTTGTTCGAGCAACAAACCACCATTTTGCTCAAAGAATTTCTCCCTCATTTTTATGAGTTTCCTTTTGTTGATGCTAATATATAGACAAGTTATTGCAATAACTAATGTCAAGAACCCAAATCCAATACCTGCACATTGAATTTGTAAGAAAGTTAAGATTGAAATTATAAATTAAATAAAAGAATAATTGTTGATATTAATGAATCTGTATTCTGTTTTGGTGTGCTAAACAATTTCAAGAAATCATAAGAATTACCTAAGGAATACTTGATTACAGGAAATTTGGAGTTATTAGCAATGCAACCACGTCCCTCCTTAAAGCCATCTCCATAGTAGCCGTGTGGACAAGAACAGTTAAAACCTCCAGGTGTATTAATGCAAATCTTTTCACAGTTGTTGCTGTTTGGATCTGCGCACTCATCAATGTCTGCCACCAAATAATGGGAAAAGTGATTACAAATGAAATGTCAATCACAAGATAGAAGTCATTTCCTCAACAGTTAATACAAATTTTTTGTTCAAGAGAACTTCAGTTTTAGAAAAGTAATTCAACATGCGTCTACGGCAATTAAAAACAAACCTTCGCAGCCAGGACTGAGATAAGGATTTCCTCGGAAGCCTTTGATACAGCTGCAACGATAACCTCCAAGACCATTGTCTGCATCAACACACGAACTATTACTTCTACAAGCATAGTCCGAGGAAAATTGAGCTTCGTGGCAAGTTCTATTACTGATTGCCCAATCTAGAACAATGGGGACAGTTTTCCGGATCCTCTTCGTGAAATTGGTATCCAAAAAATCTTCCACGCCACGGAAGGTGAACCTCTCCTGCTCGCCGAGAAATGCATAGCTACAGGGATTGAATGATACGATGCCTGTGTGATTTTTAAAACTATACACCCTGCTATTGTAGTACTTCAAACTCTTTGGCACCGGTGTTTGGCAGCAACCAATGCCGGAACAATATCCGTCCAGTACAGCTTCGGTGCTGTAACACTGAGAAGCACACCCAATAGTGAAATTCTCGATGTCTTGGGCGCCCATCATGTAAGCGTAGTCATCGCACCCAATCATGGTGAATTTGTTGGATTCCGAGAAACTGAACGGTGACCCTGTAATATTTGTCCACACAGGGTATCCGTTCACGAAGCCGGATTCATTATAACACTTCTTCGCCACTATATTTGAAATACGCATTTGATTATCAGAAATATTGTAAATCTCGATATTAGTCGTTGAAATGAACGCCCGGGGGGGATTGAAGTTGGTGCTGCAGTTGACTTCAAACCACTCACCGATGGCACAGCGGCTTCCTATGCCGATGCCGAATGGGTATGGAACCGTCAGATCTCCGCATCGGCGTTGGCAGTTTGGCATGGTCACGTTGGCTCCTTCGGTAATGGTGGATATGGTGGTGTTTGAGGCGGATGAAGAATTTGTGTTGGCCGTAGCTGATATAAGCCCAAACAAACAAATACAGGTAACCCACATCAAAAATTTCTTCTCCATGTTTATGAGTGGCTGCAGTAATGGAAGCGAATTAAGGACAAGTATATATACACTCAATCTGTCATGTTTTTCAAAGACCTATTTGAGACAGGTGAGAACTCCGCGTAATATTTATTCATTTACTCCTGGAGTGAAGACCACTTAACCCGGCAAAAGAAATTTATCCCGTATTTCACGAAACTTTTTGAGATTAGGAACGTGATTAAAAATAAATTTTGATTATAAACTGATCAAATTCTATTTTCATTCACACGCTCCTAATTGTCTTTTATAAGGCTTTGTTAATCATACTTATTGTAGTGTGTAAGCCTCCGTATGTATACAATTTATAAAATTCAGTTAAAGTCAATCATTTATTTCAACCACACATTCATGATTACAATTTATTAAATTTCACATATTTTCCTGGGATTCACTACTATTAATCTTACAATTTTAATTTATTAAATCTAGTCTTGTTCAGTACAAGTGGTGATTAGCACCATTATGAGTGATATTTGACTTAGATGGATATTAAAGTATTATTGATATTAGATTAACGTTATTAAGAAAAGTCGAAATCATGGCTAACTCATACTTGGTCGAACTACGTGCAATTGACTAGTAGACGCGGTAGATGAATGAAACCATATATTCTTACGGATTTGGATGACTTTTGTGGCTGTGGAATTGGCCAAATCCTCCCCAAAAATAATTGAGCAGCCTAGGTAGAGGAGGTGATGGAAATATAACTACTTATTTTTGTAGGAAAAAAGTAATTAAAAACTGGGTCTTCACCTGATTCCATTGACAAAGTCTAATTTGACATTATTTATTCCATTGACAAAGTCTAATTTGACATTATTTATTCCACTTGTATTAACCGTGTCACGCAATAATTTGGCTGGGAAATTAATATAATTCGTGCATAAAAAATACCAACATTTTTTATTATATAGTTGTGACTTTTGACCTTTTCAATATGTAACTAAAATTGACGACTGCATCGTTACATTTTCTTTCTCACCTATAGAGAAACAAAAGACATCTTCTTTCTCACCGATTGACAAGGGATTATCTTGAAATTCATGCAAATGCCTTCAACAAGTTCAATGGAGTCATTGATCTATCTCTTATTTAGGTCTCAATGCTTTAGTCTTACATGATATTTGTAGCTCTTTTAATAGATGTAAATGCTGATTCTTGCCATTTTGCACCAAGATTTTTTTTTTTTGGTGGGGGAAATGAATTTTAAAATAGTGAATATTTGAAGAATGTATGGTTAACAATCAAAAAAGATTTTGAATTTATGTGTATAATATTCTACTGTGAAAATATGCGATTGAAAACGAATTTAAGGAAAAAGAATTTTGTAAAAATGGTTGTCAAATGGGGGTAATAAACAAGTATTATTTTTTTTTCTTTGTTTCTTTTGATTTGTGCGATTCAATCTCCCAGCTTTTCTAATGCATTTTAACTTCGTTTTTGACATGATTCCTTCAGCTTCTGTTTTCTTCCAATTGAGTCCAAGAATTTTTCAATCGTCGATCTTAAGTCTGATTCAACTATTGGAAATTTGCAATTTTGTGCCCAAGGTTTGAATTTCTTCCGTTTTCGCCACTGTATGTTCGGCCTCGACCGGGCTGATTCTTTCTTTTCTTCACAGTTGAAATTTCAATTGGGCGCCAGCCTTTTGTCCAGCGGTCACTTTCACCTTTTCTATTATTTTTTTTTTTCCTTTGTTTCTTTTGATTTTTGCGATTCAATCCCCCAGCTTTTCTAATGCATTTTAACTTCATTTTTGACATGATTTTAGTCCTTCAGCCTCTGTTTTCTTCAATTGAGTCCAATAATTTTTCAATCGTCGATCTTAAGTCCGATTCAACTATTGGAAACTTGCAAATTTGTGCCCAAAGTTTGAATTTCTTCCGTTTTTCGCCAATTTTTCGTTTTTTGTGCAGTTCCATCTAATTTCCTCGCATCTTACCTAACAAAATATCACTATATATTAAAAAAGGCAAAGTAAAGGTCACACATGTCGCTATTTCCCATCGTCGTAAAAAATCCCCCCTTTTTAAAAAAAAAAAATTCCCTGAAATTCGTAAAAAATTCCCACATCACCATTCCTCCTCCATTATCTCGCACAACCACCCACTCCTCCATTTTCCCACACAACCTCCCATTGCAAACTTCTCATTCCTTTCCATTTGTATTATATTTTCCTTATTTCTGTGTTATTATATAGTCATTCATTTATATTAATTTTCAATGCCCAACTCGAAATTCACAGTTTGCTTCAACGCCAATTGCTCTTTCTTTCAACAGTAAGCTCATTCATTCAATTAGTTCAATTTTTTATTATTAAAAGAGGCAAAATAAAAGTCACACGTGTCGCAATTTTCTATCGTCGTAAAAAGTCTCCCTTTTTTAAAAAAAAAAAATTCCTGAAATTCGTCAAAAATTCCCGCATCGCCATTCCTCCTCCATTATTTCATACAACCACCCACTCCTCATCCATTTTCTCACGCAACCTCCCATTGCAAACTTCTCATTCATTTCCATTTGCCGAACAATAGATTTTTTGCTCCAACCTCGTGCATTTTCTTAGTTTTGTTTTATATTTCCCCCATTTCTTTGTGTCATTATATAACAATTCATTTATATTAATTTTCAGTGCCCAACTCGGAATCCACAGTTTGCTTCAACGCCAATTGCTCTTTCTTTCAACAGTAAGCTCATTCATTCAATTAGTTCAATTTTTTATTATGATTTTCATCTATACATGTATTTGATTTTCATGTGTTTTGAATGTGGGGTCATGGGACATGGGCTTATAGTCAGAGCTACAGAGAATGATACCATCGAAGGTACGCTATTTTTTCCTGTTGCCTTTTTAGATTTTTGTTTAATAAATTTGTATCTTCGTGTTATTTTTGGAGCTTGATTCGATCAGTGTGTAGGGAAACTTGAAATATTACCAACAAATGGGGACTATAACCATATATAATAATAGTAGCAACTCAATAGTCACTATCTTTCAGTTTTTTCAAATTGGTCAATCATCAATTTAAAACAACACTCCGATCTCTACACTATAATTCCATGAAATCTAATATTCAGTAGTAAGATCNAATTCTAATACCCATTAGTCACAATACATCTTTATCGGATCACTTTAATTGACTAATATCCTTTAAACAATAGCACCACACATTTCAATATACAACGTGTGACCCTATATATGTTGAAATTATCCAACAATTACCACATTGGCGTGGGCAGCCTGGCTTGGTGATGGTGGCGCCTTTGGTGATGGTGGATAATATGTTGGTGTTTGCAGCGGCGGCGCCAGCTGTTGAAGAATTTGTGATGGCTGCGGCAGACATAAGCCCAAAGAAGAAAATCCAGGCAACCCATCGGAGAAAATACTTCTGCTTGGTTATCAATGACAGCATTGTAATTGTACTGGCCATTAATTTTATACACAATTTCACTCGCTAGGTGAAGGGGATGCGTGTTTATATATACACACGTTCAAACTTCATACATGCTTGCTTGCTAAAATGATGTTCAAGAAGATTTATAAAATCTCTTAGTTGACTTTCTATATCATCTTTGAAACGTTGAATTAAATAGGGACAAAACTGGTTGTCCCAGATTTAAATCCCAGGTCAAACCAGGGCGCCAATATTTGCACATAAAGAGTTTAAAAGAGGTGAAAAATCAGACGCCATTCTTCTAAACAATGATTGTCAAATAGGGGCTAAATAACATATATGGTAAAATGTTTCTCGGTATTAATTAATTATTTTATATTTCTCTATTCAGGATTGTCTTCTTCGTTCAACAAGTGGCCTCAAACTCAAGATTGGACGTCGAGCGTGTGTAGCACCAACTTCGTGGCTCTCTTACACCAAGCCGTAAGCTATGTTGGTGATCGTGGCAAAAGTTTAATTTTCTTACTTCAATGTTATAGAATTTATTTTGTTGAGATCGAAATCTAAAATTTAAAGAAACTCATAATATCTAAGCTGAATGTAACAATTTGTAATATTAATAATTTTTTCATTAAAAAAAGGAAGAAGAAGAAGGAATGTGAAACGTATCAAGTAGCAGCCTAAAAACTTATATGGTCAACTGAATAATTCTTGTTTATTTATGGTATGTTTGGGTCGGATTAAAATCTGATTTTAATCTAATTCAAACTCAAACAATCAATATTAACCACACATTTTAAAAATTTCTATTACAATTCACTAAGAATCTAATTTTAATTGCCACCAAATTATTTCTCAATCATAGGAGGTAATACATATTATATAAAAATAATATTTATATTTGAGTAATGATAATTATTTACCGATTGATAACAATTTGAAATAGAGAAATAGAAAGAGAGAGAAAAAGAAATCAGTTAAATTTTAATATAATGACTTATCATATCAATCTATAAATGATTATGCACAAGTAGTATTACTCTTTAGATTTAATTTTTTGTAGTTAAAGGCGTTTTATATCGTTTGTTTATTTATAATGGCAAGTCTGTAATTTCTTTTCTAATTTTCTTCACGGACATTTAACTTAGCCTGGTTTAATTTAAAAAGTTGATTCACATTTAAAATTTGTTCGCCTCTCATTCTTTCAAAATGTTTTTTTTCTATATATTTATTTTTAATCACACATTCACACAATAAAATATTCTACACGTGAGCACGAAACATTTTCATACTTTTTAATCGCACATTCTTAAAAAATTCAATATTTAAAAAATGTGTTTCCAAAAAAAAAAAAATGTCACCAAACAAGAGCTTAATTTTAAGCCAACAATAAATTTTAACCACATATTTCATTGGATCCACAATTTTTCAACCATACATTTCGTCAATTTTTATCTAAATATACTAAATCTAAACCAAACAAGAGCTCAGTATGTTTTTGTTATATTTTAAGAAAAAAAGTATGTAATTTATTATTTTCAAAAAAGACGTCATGCAAATTATAAATAAATGTTATATACATGAGGTGTTGTGCAAATTTCTGTTTGTTTGACCTCATAATTTTTTACAAAAATGAATTTTGGAATAGTATTTTTTGAAAAATGTGTGGTTAAAAAGTAAGAAATTTTTTGAATTTATGTGTAATATTATTTTATTGAAAGAGTGTGGGGTTGAGAAGAAGAAAGAGAAAAATGAATTAAAATTTAATAAGGGCCAAACATTGGCTGAATATCACGTTATGTGAGGAATTATAATATATATGTGTATATAAACAAGTAGGGGTGGGCAATGGGTCGGGTCAGATCGGTTTTGGTCGGGTCCCCCTTTTTTAATTGGGGTACTTACAAAAATACCCTTAAAATTATGGATGTTTTGAAAAATCATATGAAAAGTTTTTAGGAAGTAAAAAAATACTGTGTAAAATGAAAAAGTGACACAATGTCGCTTTTTTTTTATAAAAATTGTCCCTTTTTTACTTTTTTAAAAAAAAGTGAAACGAACTCAAAAAAAAGTGATAAAACTAAAAAAAATGACAAATACCAAAATAACACCCATTTGGGCAGCACCGGTAATCTTGTTCTTAAAATAATCACCACGTTTAGACCAATCCACATGCTGATTTTGTTAGGAAAATATAACATATTATTTCATTTTTTTATCTTCTTAAAAAGTGACAAAAACCTAAACAGTGACAAAAAACTAAAAAAGTGATAAAAAAAGTGACGAATTTAAAAAAGTGGCACAAATTAAAAAAAGTTATACGGATTAAAAAAGTGACAGACAATAAAAAGAGTGACGCGCTCAGAAAGTAACAAATACTAACAAAAATGATAAAACACTAATCAATAACTTATATTTGTCACTCAAAAAGTGATAGAAATTTTTAAAAAGTAACAAAGAAAGGTGACAAAAAAAAATAACACTATTAAAAACTAACAAACACTTAAAAAAAGTGACAAAATAGCAATAAAACCCTATGTTTGTCACTCAAAAAAGTGACAGAAATTTTAAAAGAGTAACAAACAATAAAAAAGTAAAAAAAAATTCAAAAATCTCAAATTTTCTCCACTTTTTAGTCGCGCATTCTTCTAAACAATGATTGTCAAATAGGGGCTAAATAACATATATGGTAAAATGTTTCTCGGTATTAATTAATTCTTTTATATTTCTCTATTCAGGATTGTCTTCTTCATTCAACAAGTGGGCTCAAACTCGAGATTGGATGTTGAGCGTGTGTAGCACCAACTTCGTGGCTCTCTTACACCAAGCCGTAAGCTATGTTGGTGATCATGGCGAAAGTTTAATTTTCTTACTTCAATGTTATAGAATTTATTTTGTTGAGATCGAAATCTAAAATTTAAAGAAACTCATAATATCTAAGCTGAATGTAACAATTTGTAATATTAATAATTTTTTGATTAAAAAAAGGAAGAAGAAGAAGGAATGTGAAACGTATCAAGTAGCAGCCTAAAAAACTTATATGGTCAACTGAACAATTCTTGTTTATTTATGGCATGTTTGGGTCGGATTAAAATCTGATTTTAATCTAATTCAAACTCAAACAATCAATATTAATCACATCTTTTATGGGTCCCACATCTTTTCAACCACACATTTTAAAAACTTCTATCACGATTTACTAAAAATCTAATTTTAATTCCCACTCATTACTAACAATTACATAGTATTGACGAGTTGACGTTATCAATGCAGCAATGTTAGAATATTTGTGTTGGTGGACTTTTTGTGTGTTTGACGACGACTTTGAGCACACGGCGGGTTCCCCATTTTTGGTTGTTTCCGGTGGAGACGTGCGGCCACGGATCATTGACGGAGCCAACATCCTTTTGATGGAAAATGGAGAAGAGATTAGCTTGCATCTAACCAATAATTTCATTCAATACAATACATTAGTATAAAGACGAAATGGCACATTATCTTTATATAAAAGTATTGGGAAATTGAAGAAAACAAAGTAATGAAACATTAGTTGATTCAAGTAACTAAAATTGAAGTATGATATTTTTTTATGTAGGGTGCATTTAAATTTGAGTAATGATAATTATTTACAGATTGATAACAATTTGAAATACAGAAATAGAAAGAGGGAGAAAAAGAAATCAGTTAAATTTTAATATATTGACTTATCATATCAATCTATAAATGATTATGCACAAGTAGTATTACTCTTTAGATTTAATTTTTTGTAGTTAAAGGCGTTCTATATCGTTTGTTTATTTATAATGGCAAGTTGTAATTTCTTTTCTAATTTTCTTCACGGACATTTAACTTAGCCCACGTTTGGTTTAATTTAAAAAGTTGATTCACATTTAAAATTTGTTCGCCTCTCATTCTTTCAAAATGTTTTTTTCTATATATTTATTTTTAATCACACATTCACACAATAAAATATTCTACACGTGAGCACGAAACATTTTCATACTTTTTAATCGCACATTCTTACAAAATTCACTATTTAAAAAATGTTTTTCCAAAAAAAAAAAAAAGTCACCAAACAAGAGCTTAATTTTAAAGCCAACAATAAATTTTAACCACATATTTCATTGAATCCACAATTTTTCAACCATACATTTCGTCAATTTTTATCTAAATATACTAAATCTAAACCAAACAGGAGCTCAGTATGTTTTTGTTATATTTTAAGAAAAAAAGTATGTAATTTATTATTTTCAAAAAAGACGTCATGCAAATTATAAATAAATGTTATATACATGAGGTGTTGTGCAAATTTCTGTTTGTTGGACCTCATAATTTTTTTAAAAAATGAATTTTGGAATAGTATTTTTTGAAAAATGTGTGGTTAAAAAGTAAGAATTTTTTTGAATTTATGTGTAATATTATTTTATTGAGAGAATGTGTGATTGGGAAGAAGAAAGAGAAAAATGAATTAAAATTTAATAGGGCCAAACATTGGCTGAATATCACGTTATGTGAGGAATTATGATATATATGTGTATATAAACAAGTAGGGGTGGGCAATGGGTTGGGTCGGATCGGTTTTGGTCGGGTCCCCCTTTTTAATTGGGTTACTTGCAAAAATACCCTTAAAATTAGGGATGTTTTGAAAAATCATATGAAAAATTTTTAGGAAATAAAAAATACTGTATAAAATGAAAAAGTGACACAATGTCACTTTTTAATAAAAATTGTCCATTTTTTACTTTTTTTAAAAAAAGTGAAACGAACTCAAAAAAAAGTGATAAAACTAAAAAAAAATGACAAATACCAAAATAACACCCATTTGGGCAGTACCGGTAATCTTGTTCTTAAAATAATCACCACGTTTAGACCAATCCACATGCTGATTATGTTAGGAAAATATAACATATTATTTCATTTTTTTATCTTCTTAAAAAGTGACAAAAACCTAAACAGTGACAAAAAATTAAAAAAGTGATAAAAAAAGTGACGAATTTAAAAAAGTGGCACAAATTAAAAAAAGTTATACAGATTAAAAAAGTGACAGACAATAAAAAGAGTGAC